GCTGAACACCCTGGGTAGACCAGAGCTGGTGCGGTCCTCTGATCTGAACTGTGACCCCAACAAGAACATTTCATGAATGTGCAATAGAGAAACCTCATCAACTTAGTCTGAGATGGAGTGGTTGTCGTGGGTTCTGTATGCTGTGACAGTAAGATGCAAGTGCTCAAAGTGTGGCAGGTTTCCTGAACTTTTATTGTCCTTTTTTTAAAAAAAAAAAAAGTGCTTTTTTAGGTTTTAATCCACAGAGTGTGCACCCACTACTGTATTTCCAGATTCCTGGGGAGCAATGAGAAATCCAATTAGTATGTTCTCAGTTCCCATCTCCTTCCCTTCTTTTTGAAAAGACCCTTATTTAAGGTTTCAAGCAATAAACGGCAGCAATGAGGAAGGAAGCAAAACGAAAAGCATCGCCTTTGGAACTGCAGAGGTGGTGGGAGTGAATATTCGTTATGCTTTTTCTCCAGCTTTCTTCCTCCCCTCTCTTGTGTCATGTTTCAGGGAGCAAAGGGCTGGGGCTGCGGGAGGGAGCTCCTTTCCCAGGACACTGTTGCAGAACCAGGTGAAAATCCCCTCTCCTGCTCCAGCCTCTGAAGTGTCAGGTATTGACCACAGTGTAACTGGATACCAAACCAGCCCGTGGATCCATTCAGGTGTGGCGTTTCCTGTACTTCTGCATTTGCCTTTGTACTGGATGTGCTTTTAACTAAAGCAGGGGACTTAACCGAAGCTGTCAGGCTACCCTGCTGAGCTATTATCCTCCCATCTGTTATTTAAGAACAGCCCTAGAATACTTGAATGTCTCCATAATTCTTATCTGAGTTACTTCCCATCAGATGACACTGTAACTGCTGGATTTTACACCAAAAAAAAAAAAACCAAACCACCTGACAAGCTCAGCTCCAAGCCAACTCTTCCTCCATCCCTCCCAAGTGTTCCCAACGTATATCATGTGTGGTCAAGTGGTTTTGTTCAGTGTTACGTGACTTGCTTAGTGTGTGTGGTCACCTTTAGCCAGCCTTCCTCCACTAAAACAGGTCACATTGGTTTCTGTGTTTGCAGGGAGTTCAGAACGAGCTGCTCTTTGTCTGTTGATCTTTTTATTTTTTTATATATATATGTAATATGTATAGGAAATGGCAATAATTTCCAGAAGATCTCGTGAATGTGAAAGGAAACCTGCAATGGTTTTTATGGAGTGTAAAACATAATAAAGAAAAAAAAGCCATTAAAAGAAAGCTGTTTTTTGTACTTGGAGTGAGCTGTGAAAGTGCTTTGACAGAGCTTGGTGGCAGAAGAGGTCACCTGAGAAAAACGCCATGGCCCAAAAGTGGCATAAGGAGGTAGAAGAGGAGGGTGAACACCACTGGGCTCTGTGCTGAAAGCCTCTGAGGTGCATCTCTAGGGAGGGAAGAAGGTGAGGGGGAGGATTGTGTTAAACAGAATGACATGAGTCACGGTGGCGTCACTTCCCAGTGGCCAGGCAGGCACTTTTGTTTTGATTCATGCATGTTTTATATAAGATTTGCCATCTTGCTGAAGATGACAGTCTGAAGTAGACACGGCCTCCGCTTCCTTCCTGAACACACGCCACAGGATGCTGCATGCCCTGCTCCCTGGTGTGATGCTTGCAGGTGGCCCATGACACCCTCCAGGTCCATGCCAGGGACCAGGACATGTGGGTTATGCTCAGCTTTTCACTTTTTGTAGTGACAAAAATTAATTTGAAGTCTCAGCATCTCAGAGCCCTTTCATACCCCTTTTTAGCTGGAAGTTTTTTCAGCTGGCTCATCACTGTGGCACACTTAAAATCTGTGTTTCCAAGTTATCAACTTGAAAAAATTATGGTAGATGTCTGGGGGAGTTACAAAGCATCCCTGCCCTCCAGGACTCTCACACATTTGTGACATCCTCCCCCTGGGAAGCAAATCTCGCAGGTGAGAAGCTGTCATTGGAGATGAGCCTTGGATTTCTTCCCCGTGTCAGGGGTATACAGCAGCAGCCCTGCCTGGGCCCTGGGAAACCTGAATGTGGGAGCCAGCAGCCAGGGAGGTGAGGCAGATGGTCTTGTAAAAGCAGATCAACTAATTTTCTGAAAGATCAGACTGCTTCCCTTGGGGAACTCTGGGAAGTGCTCTTTGCCTCTTGGCTCCCACAAGAACCCGAGCAGAAAGGCTGCTGGGCTGAGCAAGACTGGCCACATCCTGACCACAGAGACCTACAGCCTTGACAGAAGCAGAGCAGCCAACTGCCCTCCTTAAAACAGCACAAAACCCCTTCTGGGGGAATTATCAGCTTTGTTTCTGAAAGATGAGAAGCTGAAACCCTCTGCAGAGCTGCTGATGTTTGCCACGGAGACCTGCCGAGCAGGGGGCTAAGGAGGTTAATGGAGGGTCTGCTGGCCTTGGCAGATTTGACCACAGCAGCTGTAAAAGATCACAGGCCAGGTGGAGGAGCCAGGTATTTAGCAGAGAGGGAAGGCAGCTGCTCTGGTTTTGGAGAGGGGCTCTGATCCTCGGCTTTCAACAGCATGCTGGTCGATGGTGTTGGCGGGGGAGATGCTGGGTTGGGATTCAGCAAGGGTGGAGGGCCAGAGCCCTGTGAGAGCCTGAAAAGGGGTTGTTGTCATGCCTGGGCAGAGGAGCCTGAGGTTTGTACTCCTGCCCGGGGCACAGTTCCCCTCCGCTTGGCTGGTCCCAACACCTGTTTCCTCCCTGCCAGATGAAGGAAGCCCCAGCATCCGGGGCAGAGCGGGATGTAAATGCTGCCATGTGCTCCCGTCCTCATGCTGGTGCCTGCTTTGCTGCTTTAGTGCTAATGTAAGACCTCTGCCCCTAGCTCAGCTCCTCCCTGGGCCAGCTTGTCAGATCCCACTGTTCTTAAAGGACATCACAGCCATCTGACTGCAGGGCTCTGGGGTGAGAGTACAGGCTCTCCTCCCTCCCTGGCCATGCTGCTCCCGTGGGCAGGGAGGAGCTGAGGACCCAAGGACTGATGTGTGAAGATAAGCATGACAAATCGGGATGGCACTTAACTGGGAGATGGGATGTGTGAGTTTGAACCTGCATGGGCAGGGCAGGAATCCTGGTTCTCTGCTTCCAGACACCAGCAGCCAACAGCTACCTCCATTTTTAGGGAAAGGAACAGCTCTGACAGAGTTCTGTGGCTTGTGTGCTGAGCAAATTCACCAGGCTGAGTAGGATGGAAGATTTAGGGGGCTTTCATAGCCCAGATGGGCTTGATTTTGGGTAGCTCACGCCTAAGGATGGAAGTTCAGATCAGGCAGGTGTGTGGGTAATGTCGGAGCTGAAGGATGGGGGCTGACAGTGATGGGGGCTGAACTGTCTGGTAACCATCAATGTGCCTGCGCCCATCTGCCAGCTAAGCCTGGCAGATGAGTAGGGATCTCAAAAACAAAAGTTCTGATGGAAAGTAGAGACCTACGTAGCTGTAAGAGCAAGGGGAAGGCTATAGCAAGACGCTTTCAGACATCAGAAAATGCAAATGAGGGAAATTTATGCCGTACCCTTAGGCAGAGCTTTGATTAGAGCTCACCCCATATGATACCTGAATCCAAAGAAGATGGGAGGAAATGTCACAGAAAAAGGGATTTTGCAGGTTCCGTTGCCCATGGAAGTGCTGGTTTAGGGCTGCCCTGGGACCTGAGGATGTCTCTCCATTGACACTCCTGATCATGTAACCTTTATGTCCCGGATTCCTTGGTGTCACTCGGGACCTGCTTCAGAACCTGGCATTGGACTGAAGAGGGCTTGTGCTGGAGCTTTTGGTTCCTTGCTTTTAGGCTTGCAAAGAGCAGTCATGTTGCAAGCACGCATGTTGTTGTTCAGCCTGTCCCTGCTTTGCGCAGGCTGCCTGTCGTTTTTGCCTCCAAGACAAACAAACTCTTAAAAATACTGCCACAAAAATACATAGTTGCAAATCAGATTATGAAGAGATCTGGGGTGGGGGTGGATGGGTGTGTGTTGTCCTTAAGCGTCCCTATGTGTTCTTTTAGTCCGTACATTTGCTGGTGTGATTTGCAGACGATGCTGGTTACAAAGGCTTCTCCTGCTTCTCTGATTAAAGGACTTTCCAAAAGGCAGAAATTACATCCTGACCAGTAAAACGCAGATAAAATTCATCCGCTCAATGGGGAGTTTATAAAGTGCCCAGCCCTGGTCCCTGAGCAACATAAGGTAGGTAGCTCTTCTTAGCTTCTTGCCTTCTGGTAAGCTGCCTCTTCTGAGCTGCTTTTTTTTCAGGTGACAAAGCGTGAATGAACAAGGTATTCTGCAGGCATTGTTCTTTGTATGCTAAAAACAACACTTGCCTTGCTGGGAAGTCAAAGGTCCAAATGTGTCTGTAACATGGCAAAAGTAAGTGAGGCTCTAGGCATGGAGAATTTGACCCTCCATCTCCACTTTTCACCGCTTCATGCTAATTGGAGAGGAGACACGCTGCCAGCTCACTCTCTGGGGAGAAGAAGGCAGGAACCAATTTGCAGAGCCACATAAATATGGAAGTAGGATTTTTTTTGGCGTGGGAGGTGTTACCAGTACCACACGTTGCAGTTCCTTGGCTTTATCACATCGTAGGCTTTTACCGAGACATGAGTAAGTTCGCTAAATAAGGAATATGAAAATAGCTTGTGAAATAGGTTGAGTCATCAGAGAAAATTAAATGAAGTTCTGGCACCAATGTCTCAGTTGTAAAGTCGTACTTTGTTTTACCGTTGCATTACAAACTATGGGGTCATTTCAATCTGTTTATTTCAGATTGAAAATTCAAAGTACTCTGGCATCTAAGGAAGGCTTACCAAATGGGTGCATTTTTCCATTAGCAGTGGTGCTGCATCCCACCTATGAACACTTGCAGGGAATGTAAAGATTACCAAGACAAATGGCTTCTGTGGTTATAGCCGAAACACTCAGCACTTCTTCCAGATTTGTCTCATTACTAAAGAGGATT